AATTTCCCTGGTAAAATAAAGTTTAAATAAATGACATAAATGCTGTAATAGAACATGTAAGTTAGTGGTTTATTTATTGTTAGTTACTGTAATGTTGCGCTGCTTTATTTGGTTAATCGTCCAGTCTGTGAAGAAGGCATTCAAGTAAGAATTGCATTGTAGTATGACTCATTTCCTGGCGCGTACAATTTATATTAGGTCAGCGTTCACGGTTCGACTTCGGATATTCAGATAAAGTTCTAGGTCAAACTGGTTTGTTTGACTTTCAAGAAATTCAAGTTCTAGTGAGTTCGAGAACCGAGATACCACTGTATTATGTACGAAAGTGCTCATAGTAAATAATTGGAAAGGTAAAGTGTAAAAGTTTATTTTCAGCGTGCCATCTTTGCATTAGTGCATTCTATAAACTCTAAGTATCTCGGATATTTTTTTTGTGTAAGTCCGGATTTACTCGAGAACTGCCTCTATTTAAATATAAAATTATTAGTCCTTTGATACTTTTAGTTGTGAAACATTGTCTGACTTTTGTGACTATCTTGAGACTTTCCATGTAAGTATGTGGAAAATTCGCTTAGTGTTTTTCGGTTTATACTGGTTAACAGCACCATGCCACAAGGGGAGCCAAATGGACCGGGCTGTGCTGATCGCGATACTCTCTTCTCGCCGTTACTCTCTTCTCGCAAAGCCATCCATCTCCAGCCATTCTGACATAAATGCTAACTTCACGTTTCCCCACAGAGGCGAGGAAGTGACAGACGTCTTCAGCTCCCAGTTTGAGAGCATCCTGGAGTCGGAGCGCCTCCAGGGGACACTCTACAGCAGCCTGGACTCCCTGGATGCCCTGTCATCCACCGACGAGTCGGACGCCTGCCCCAACACGGACATGCCACTCACGCCCATGATCCAACAGCGGCTGAAGGAGGGTGGGCGCTTCCTGGAGGGCGATACCGACACCGGCCAGCAGGAGGTGCTGAGCGTGACGACGACCAGCAGGAGCGGCAAGGCCGCACTCGAGCTCACCACGTCCTATCTGGACGTGACCAGTGGGGGCGCCGTTAGCACCCACCGACTGGACCAGGCCCCGGACAAACAGTCTCTGGCAAACGGCGTGGTGGAGAATGCAGAGCGCCATCCGAAGGACTGGCTGCAGGGCTGCTTGAGGTAAGCGTGCAACTTCCTCTTTCAGCTGCTGTGTTGTTATGATTTTTATCAGCTGTCTTTTCTAACACAAAAATAGAGCTTCATGTGAAACGCATCTTTTTTAAAGCCTTATAAAAAGTATCTAAATGAATCACTAAGCAATGGATTCTATGAACCTGTGACTGTTATTAATACACCAAAAATCAATATTGAGACCACCAGTCGCCTACACTAAGGAATCCTAGTAAGATTTTTTTTCCTTGCATTACACACTCAGTATTTATTATTCACAATCAATTTTCATTACTCACGATCAGTATTCGTTACTCACAATTAGTGTATTCATTACTCACAATGCCTTCAATGCCTTGTGTGTAAACACAGTGTATACCACAATTATTATGTTTAATAATAATATTAAAAGAGGTTAATTACTTGGTGAATTAGCCAGCATTGATCTTGTGCCAGTGTGCGGTTTAGGAGTCAGATAATATTTAAGTTCATGTGCAGACAGTCCTTCTTTCATGATAGATCTTACTTGTCCTAGGGTATGTGATACAGACATTGGGGCTGGAATGGTTATGAAAGATTAAGTTATGTGTGTGATTAAGTCTGTGTGGTGTAGAAATAGCTTAGAAACGCCGTCAAGGTCGAAGGGACATGATGTGACTAATTATCTTCTGGCCAGAGCCTTCACTCTCCTGTAAAAGCACAAAATATGTTTATAGAAAATGTGTAGAGAACATATATTAAATGTGCATGCTGTGAATCACTGCCTAGTGAAGTATATTCATGCAGATAAAGGAATAGTTAATAGTTTATATGAATGAAAAGAAAAGAAAGTATATTAAACAGATAATGTATTTTTAAGTCCTACTGCTATAATTAATAATTATTTTAGAAGGTATACACTAGTACTTCTATTGCACAATTATTATGATTGTATTTTATGTTTTACTCCGTTAAGCCTGCATTTTGTCTTGTGTTGACCATACGTGGAATGAGACAATGGCTGTTGTGTCACTCTTGTTGTCAATTTTAATAAACGGGATTTTATTTGATTTACACTCCGAGTGATATTGTGTTCATAAACATTGTGGTTTGCGCTTGAAAACTTCAGGTCTAGAATCAGAATTAGTGTCATATAGTTAAAAGCTTTATTAAATTTCTAAGTCATCCTGAAATGGTTTGGTATTCCAAAAAGCGTCGTATCCGCCATGGTCAATGGCTTTTTCTGTTCTTTCTCATTCGCTGCATGTGCGCCATGACAACGACCACATTCTGCACTGTAACAGGAAATAACTTGTTGAAGCAGCTTGTCTGTGTGGTAGGTGAGATTGTGCTTCCAAGGTCAATGATTGCCCATCATAGTGGCTGCTACTAGAACTTTCATAACCACTTGGCACATTGAACGGTTCATTAAAAAGCAATGGATTAATTAATGGGGATGACCTTTGTGGGAAGGTCTACGATGCCATCTGACAATAGGAAAAAATAAATAGCTGGCGACCAGAAGTAGGGCTGCTAAATTTATCACCTACAGTTATGGGAGAAAAACACTTCTGCTGTGGTTCCATGGCCGTCGCCTTAAAATCTCTTCAGTCTCTTCAACAACAGGTTTAAATCAGCCGATGTTGGGAGCCACTACGGCTGTGACATCATCCACCTGAAGCCCATTGAGAGAACCCTCGTCCCTTATATATGGGCATATATGGTCAGCACAGATTCAAAAAGAGCTGATATCCATTTGATGTGGTAGCTGTGCCCGGACCCTGAGACCACAAGAAGCTACACCTGGTGTCAAAACAGCTCAGATCAATATGTCACTGTTGACTGCCTAAACCTCACCTGGCTTTTACCGTAATGTGGCCCTTTTTGGACACTGCGCTATTAGCATATTCTGACCAAGCTTCTGCATGGGTATTATTTAGCCTGTACCAAAAATTCTCCATATTTTGCTTTTACGACCCTAAAAACTAGGCTCTTTAGTTTTGTTCCACACATTCCTTACCAATAAAAGCCTCTTTATAATGTAGTTAATCTGTGCATTTATTAGACAAAATTTAATTTATCTTTAAGCCTCATTTCTTGCTTATTTGGAAAAACCTTGTTTCCGTTGCAATTGTCAAATTTTAGAGGGGTGCAGTCTACCAGATGTAAATGAGGTTTCTGTTATATGTGATGTGAATGTAAATTATGTTTGGCAGTATCCAGGAAGCGTGTGGTCATCGCATGTAAAGCTGTGATGCTGGGGCCTGTCGGCCTGATGTTATCTCTGTGGGCTTCAGCACGGAAGCCGCAGATCGCCTTCAGGCGGACTCATCATGCCCAAAAGGCTGCACATGGCCTATGGTGTTCTGTTCTTTCTGGGTCGAGTGGAGCGCAGAAGTCCCAGAGAAACTGATTGCAGCTTTGTGCAGCTTTATTTTAACTTAACATTTTGAGCCTGTTTGGTGGGCAGTGTGCGATTTTTCATAAATTTAGATTAGATTCAGCTTTTTCTGTCATTGCGCTAAGCACACGTACAGAGCCAATGAAATGCACCTAGTATCTAACCAGGTGCAAATAAATACAAAAATATACAAAAATATACAATATACAATAAAAAAGTAAGTACAAATTCTGGTTATTTGCAGAAACATGGTGACCATGGTGGTCTGTGTCGGGTTCGGCTCGGTGGGCAGCACCATCCCTCACACCTCCAGGCCCAGGGCTCGGATCCTGGCCCCAGTCTGTGTTTGGAGTGTGTCGGTTCTCCTCCAGGTGTTCTCTGAGTACTCTAGGTTCCTCCCATAATTTGTTGGTGTTCCCTTGTGATTGAATGGCATCTCATTCAGGGTTCCCTGTCCTTCCTTGTATAGGCTCCAGGCCTCCTCACCATCCAAAAATGTATCGTGGCTGGAAGAGGGATAGATGAAGGTTCTCTGTAGTTACATATATAGTGCCATAAATGAGCTATCACTGCTCTTTGAAATGGAGAAAGTGCACCCTCTGCTGGACAAATGGGTGCAACACATTAAGTCATACAAGTTCCAGGGCCTCTGGAAAAAGAAATGCACGCCTACTGCAAGGACAGAAGGATTTCTTCCCCCACTGCTTCAGTGGGTTTGATTTTTCAGTTTCTACGACTTAAGCAGACCCAGACTAGCCTGCTGAAATGCTAAGTAGCCTAGCGATGATAACACTGGAAGCTATGAGAGCTGGTTCAGTTGTTAATGTGAAAAGGCATCATGATACATTATAGTTTATTTAGTTTTTTTTCTTTTTTCTGAATTCTTCCTGCAGGGAGTGCTGCATGCGATACACAGAATGCCCTTACCCTCATCCATGAAGTATGACTAGTGGTTAGAGTTGGAATTGGCTGATGGTTTGTCATGCGACACCTTGCTGATTACAGGAAGGTGAGAGTGACCTAGGAGGTATGCGGGTAGTGTAGGATTGAGCCCTGAACACGACTCGGCAGGCTGTATTTCAGATTCCAGGGAATGCAGTGCTAACTGCCCTCTTTGTGGGTTTAGCTTTTTAATGTTGTCGAAAACTGTCTATTGGAAATCTGTCATTTACATTTTAATCCAACAACCAATGTATTTCAGGGCAGTCTCAACACTACTAGTATCCTTATATTCGTTCACTGACTTTCAGTAAGTTTCAGGTTAAATTAAATTTGAACAATTAATTGTGACTGGATTATAGAAAGTACTGTATTAAATACTTAATGGTGCTATAATGTATACAATACATCAATATCTGCTTTGTTATGGGGTTTTAAGTATTTATTATGAAAACCAACCTAGATTCTTTATATATTTATACATTATGAAGTGTCGGTGTCCTAGGGGTTGCCTATTTGGGATTCATTATTCATTATAGCTGGGTGTTTATGAAAGCGGCTCTGGTTAAGTCTTGCCTGGAAGCGCCACGTCCCTGGAATCACAGCGGTGAGATCAGTCGCGGAGCCAGACCCTGTCATTTGTGGCCTCCCAGCTTTCAGCGCAGTTCCGTAACCCGTGTGTGACTCCTGCAGTCTGCTTCACGACGAGCCTCCTCTCCCAGGATCTGCACTTCTGTGGTTATCAGGAGGTCGACTGTAATTGATTCTCGTTATTTCACGGCGAGGTGAGCCGAAGCCCGTTGGCGTCATTCCGTCAGGTTCCAAGGCGCGCCCGCAGAACCCGACTGCATTAGAATAGAGAGGCTGCTTAAGAAGCTTCCTTAAAGTCCCGTGGGCAAGGGGACAAGTGCAAACCTTACAAAACTTTTCAGATGAATCACAATTAAAAATGATGAGTTTCCAAAAAACGCAAAAGTGTCGAATATCTAATGTAATTTATTGAATAATGTGCTGAAAGTGACAAACATTTACCCACTCTAAAGTCGAGATATCGTAACACAGAGCAGATGAACCATATGTACAGTAAGCATCTGTATTGTGACACAGCTGCGGTGTCACTGGGAAAGTCAGAGACCGGAGGGATAAAAATGGGTTTAAAGTCTCTACTGCTTCCCTGTATGGATGTATTTGGGAAGAGGTTGGCTTCATAATGGCGTGTGATAATGGAGCCCGTTCCCCCCCATCCCCCACTCTGTCCCAGCTTCTCCTTCTCGCAACTAGCTATGTAACTATATATCGTGCCACAATAAATCGCAGTAAAAATATATGATGTTTCGAATCGTGTAAATAAAAAACGCACTGCAAAATAGCTCAAATTATTATTAGGCTGCGTAATCCCTTTGTTTTTCCTAGCTGTAATTGTGTTGTTTAGACAGCAGATGGTGCAATAACTTGGCCTGCCCTCCCCTACTGGGAACCAGAAGGCTAGTTCATACTTAACTTCTCTGCGTGCTTTTTCGGGCTGCGGACGGCATTGTGCACAAAAGCTTGTGTTCATAGTACATTTGTCAGTGGATGCAGATGGCTGTGATTGGTGCATGCATGCATGCAGCAGTGATATTCCACCAGAGCAGGAGCAGGCAGATGTACTGCAACAAGCACCAATACAATGTAGTAAAATGGGTAAACT